TGGGATGAGTTTAGTTTCTATTTGTTCAGAATAGCCATTTGCTTATATGTAAGGGCTATGCTGAGAAGAACGTTTTACAGATTCTCAACAAAGCAGTAAGGAATGTTTTATGTTAATAATAATGTTGTCTAATACATCAGAGAGAACAGAAAGCAGGTGTTCTTGGTTCACAAAAGAGAAGAGAAGAGAGTATCCTTACTTTTTAAAAGCTATCAAATTTACTCAATTCACTGCAGCTATTAGGGATCAGAGAGTATTTCCAAGAATTCTTAATGATGTTTTTTCCACTGTTTATAACATCAAAGTGATTTCCCAGAGGTAAATGTCCACTTTTGATCTGACTACTTTGTGGATAACTAATGTAAAGAAGAAATGTAGGCTCCATTACTACCCCTTCTGAACATAATTTAACAGGAAGCTTGCATATTACTTTTTGCCATGACTTGGGTCGACATTGAACAGATATCAAAATATTTATGTGTATTTAACTCTCAGCACCCATATAAGGTGGACTCTCTCTTCCAGTGTACCATTTAGTTTAGTCATGTGTAGTTTGAGAAAATGATTAGACCTACCTGCATTTTAATTTGATCCATAACATTTGCATATACCCTAAGGAAAGCATAACGCCTGCCTGCTCACAAAAATGTATCCTGCTTTTATACCCCATCCTACCCTCCTGCCCTGTCCCTCTGCTTGTCCCACACTTTCCCACACTGAACCTCATACACATACACTCACATTCAAACATCCAACCCTCACCTGTAGCTCCCAAGATGGCCAACGTCAAGAAGACAGGTAAGATGATTTTGAATGTTACTTGGAATCTTGGCTCACCTGCAGTCCTACTTCTTCTTTTTATTCTCAGGCTTGTGGGCAGATTGTAATTTGTATCAGCCATAGAGTCAAAATGGAATGACTTTGGTCCTATGTGGGTTAGGGATTTTATTCCTAAACAGACTTAGCATTTTTGCAGCAATAATTTGTGAAATGGTACTCCGGAAGAGTTGATTCACCTCCCTGGGTGAGCTGAGTAGTTTATGTGACTCCCCAAGAAGAGTCCACATTTCTTAAAATCAGCACCCAGGTCTGCCCAGAAGCTGCATGACTAAATGCAATTTGGATGGGGAAATGCTTTAGCTCCCCCAGTTGCACGTGCAAAGCTGCAAGGGCAATTTTAGAGGGTTTCTTTGTTACCTATGTTAATATGAGATGTTGGTTCCTACAGTAGATAATCACATTAAGAATTAATTATTAAAATCATATTGATCTTTAAAGGCTAATAAAGTTCAGTGGATGGTTATCATTTTACCTGTTGTTTTTGGATTAAAAATGGTTATGCTGGTAAGACTTGGAAATCAACACAAAATTTCTGTGGCAGTGGGCGAATAATTGAGATGGCTCAGAGTTTTTAACACAGTGACTCCAATACAACAGAGAATTTCATCCACTCTCCGTCCAAGCCAAGCCTCACATAAAAGACCAACTGCACCTTGGCTTATGCTTTGCCAATGCTATGCTTAAGCTCAGATCTGCTATTTCTGCAGCCAGGTCATTCAGGATTACCTCTCCTGCCAAAACCATCAGTGAGGGCAAAGGTCACCTTATTAACCACTCAGGAGATACTGGATTTGTGGCATCCTTATCAAAATGCAATCAGGACTTCGTGACTGCAGCAGACTGGTCCAAAATGTAGCTCAGCATTTGAAATATGTATAGTATCCACATCACCAGAAAAGAGCAAGGCCAATGCCTAAAGATTTTGAGTGCTGGGAGTGTCTGTTCCCATTGTGTTTCCTTATCCAGTTCTGATACAAGAGTGGTTGCTCAGATGTCCTCAGCATGTGTTCAGGCCGTCAGGATGAAGTAAGATCAGTGTAACAGCACTCACCACACCCACATCCATTATAGAGCACTGTTGGTGACAGTGCTTTGTAAGCTCTTAGAAGGTATTCTTTCTCTTGGGAATTATCCAATTGATTACTCACATCATCAGCAGTTTTTGAGTCTATTTCCATGATCTCATAGATGTGGTGACTCTGAAAAGAAACTAATAACAATAACTATCATGTATCAAGTCCCTACCACCTTTATTTCTTAGACCATGAGGTATAGTCATTCTTACTCTCATCCTGTGGATGGAAGAAATTGAGGCGTAAAGAGTCCCTCAAGATAGCACAGCTAATAAGAATCAGAACCAGAATTATAGCCTGGCTCTGAGTCCAAAATGCGTTCTTGACTGTTTCACCATACTTAACTTAAAAGTAGCAAGTGGATATTGACTACTTACATCTACCCTAGGACACTTGATGAATCCTTTTGTATCATCCTACTAAACATTTGCATATGAACATAGTGAATAAGGGTGGATTTGTGTCCCTCTCACGTGATTGACCTGGTTTTAGCCTGTCCTGGGGGCAGAACTGAACTGAGATTGGCCTTATAGACCTATCTACGAAAGTCGAGCCCGGGATGTCTGAGGTAGCCCCAAGATGCCCCACAAGCCACTGGCACACAAACACATTTGTTGTGTAATTCTAATCCAGTACACCTTATGGTTAACATGTGGAAATGATGCTGGTTAACATTTGTCCAAAGGTGCACTTGACTATTTTAGTTCTTGAGCTGAGGTAGTGCCTGGCTTTAAGTGAAAGCTGGGTTGGACTGCCAGGCAAGTTACTAGAGTCAGAAAAAAGCCTAGAGGCAGTTTTTTGAAGAAATATCTTCTTTAGACATTTGTGAGAAATTTTTGAGTTTATTTTCCCTAAACTGGCTTACCCTGCCTGTTCTCTACTCTGACTCTGACTCCCACTCTGGTGCTCTCCATCCCCCAAGATAATCACCTTCATGCAGTCACATACCACCCAGCCTCCAGGACCAGTTGCCCCTGCCCCTTACTAAAACCAGCCTGCTCAGTTTCTCTTTGTCCCCTCAGAGTCCAAGGTGTCAGTTAACTATCCTGTTAACTAACATATGAAGACTATGTCCAATTTCTTTGGGCTTCTAGAGAATATCTCTGGGTTTTGTTTTAACTCATGACTGACTCTACCCAGGGAAAGATATTTGAGGGGAAGATTGGACTTTAGCAGCCCTCATTGGAACGGCTTTATATTATATATGTCTCACGCTGGCCACCTGGACCCATAGCCAAATTAGGATTGGCGTGACTGTGAAGCTACCGGCTAACAGCTAATGCTGTGGATACATACTACAGCAAATTAGAAAGAGGATTTGTTTTATGTGATACCTCTAAAGTAAAAAAGATTTAGGTATTTGTGTACCTGACTAGCTTTCCTGAATTTGAATATTTTATCAGTAATGATTAGGCTAATAAAGCTGAACCCAGGTCAGCATCCTTCATTTTAGAAAATTGCACTTAAACATCTAAGCGCAAAAGTTTGCCCTCATTTTACACATACTGAATTTGTTTTTTAAAGATCATGGTCCTATTTAAAATTTTTTCTAAAATAAAAACAATTTAATTTCTGAAATACAAAAATATGGAGTAGTACATTGCTTTAATAGAACATTTGCAGATTTGAAGTAGTAACATTCTTAGTTACACCCATCCGCTTAGCAACGGAGAACATTAATGTAAGAGTAATCAGACAGCTGCTGGGTTCATGCTAAGAAGTGGTCCTGGCTGTTTTTAAAAAATAAAAGAAACTTTAGGAGTTATAGATTAGAAATGAACTGAACCACTCTTGCATTTTAATCAAGAATGTCACTTGAATCTCAGAATGTGTAGGAAAAATTATTTTCAAACTTTAGTTTGAATTTAGTGTCCATAAAATGGAAACTAGTTTGAAAATTATGTCAGAACAAGAGCAAAGGCTATTATATGGATGGGAACCAACATTCAAAATACTGAAGGGAAACAGACATCTTCATGCTGTTGAATCTAATGTAGGCAGGGGATTTTGACCTACCCAGTGCCACAGTTCACCCCGAACTCCAATGCTCCCAGGCTGAGGCAGTCACAGCAGATGAGGTGAAACCCACATTAAGTACTTGTGCTACCTGTAACATGGTAACCAGGTCAGTGACGTGGCTCATTAGCACTTTGCACCAGAAATTAAGGAGCCATGGATGTATTGTGGTGACCTTTGTGAATGGAATAGCTGCAGCAGTTATCACATCAATTTCTGCTGATATTGATATGATATGACTTTTTTTATTCAGGCAAGTTATCTTAAAAGGCAAGTTAGCAATGAGTATGAGCTATTTGAGCAAGTTTAGCTTACTCACAAATATTGCCACTGCACATGGAAAATCAAACAAGTACAAAATAATGCACCAGAAGCTTACATGCTGATTACAGGGACCAATCAGACCATTTTTGTGTGTTCTCATCAGACTTTGTGTGGCTGGAACTCTGCACTCCTTACTGCTTGCATGTTTACTAATTTATTATTAAAACCCCTGTATTCGCCTTTGTTCCTTCACAACTAACACACTGGCCTCTGAATGCATGAATTTTTGTGTAAACTTATGTGTAACTTTAGCAACTAATAAATGCATCGGTTGTAATGTATTTTAAGATCTTAAGATATAATTGGGATTATACTTAAAAACTTAAAAAATTGGGATTATACATTAAACTTAAAAAATGTATATTTTTACATTGAATGTTAAAAATAAGGCAGCATAATATTTTGTATACTTTATTTACCATTATGAGCTCTTAGAATAATTTTATTCCTATTCCATTTTAGTTTTTATCCCTTTTATAGGAGATTTTGTTATTTGCTATCTAATTGAAAAGTATGATTCTTTGTCCTAACAGTTAAACAATCCCTTGCAGTCATGAAATTAGGAAGATAAAATTCCAGTATTCCAGTGCTGGGAATGACAATTATCTTCCCAGTAGTTAAACCTTTGCAGTAATGGCTTATCAAAGTAGAAGTAAGAGGGTTTGATCTGAACCTACTTTTCAGGTATTTGAAAAAGATAATTAGGCAATCACATGATATTTATTTCATATGTTCTCAATATCTCAGGACTTTATCTCCTGCCAAGTCTCCTTCTTCATCAACTGGGTCTATTGCCTCCAGCAGAAAATACCCTTATCCAATGCCTCCACTTCCTGATGAGGAGAAGAAGGTGAACCGACAAAGTGCCAGGGTATGTGGGAGCATCTTTCATCCTGTACATACTCAGTCATTGTCATTTAGCTGTGAGTTTGTAATTTAAAAGAGAGCCAGTTTCTCTTCTTTGTTCATAACAAAATGAAAAAAACTTAAATTTTAAAATTATAAGATTCTTGGAGCTTTTGGGTTCAGATTTATATTTGTAAAATAGTTTAATCTGCATTGATATAGTCTGGAGATAATTTGGTGTATATTAATTACTCATGGCTATACACTTAAACTTTTTTTTTTTGGGGGGGGGAAGTCTGTTTATTTTATTTTGTTGTTGTTGTTGCATTTTTGATTGGCCACCCTCAGTATAGGGGACCAGTGCCCTACTCCCTGAGCCACAGGCGCTGCCCCTACTTAAACTTTTATTACTCACTGTAGCTGATACAGTAAATCCTGGAGTAGACAAAACAAAAGAATATCAGTTTGCTTTATCAGTTTAATTTTTAGTTATTATGGGTACATAATAGTTGCACCTAGAAGTTGTATCTTCATAGGATACATGTGATACTTTGATACAGACATACAATGTGAATTTAAAAAATTAGGGTAATTGGGGTATCATTTCTTTGTGTTAGGAACATCCCAATCTATTCTTTTAGTTATTTTAAAGGATATCCTAACTTACTATTGATTACAGTCACTTTGTTGTACTATCAGATGTTCACTCCATCTGTATTTTTATACCCATTAACTAATTCCACTTTATCCCCCCACTACCATGCACGGTGCCTAGTAACCATCATTCTATTCTCTGTCTCCATGAGATCATAGGTTTTGACATGTTGCATTTTCATTAGTTTCAAGAAATTTTTTAATTTACATTTTTTTCTTTCTTTCTTTTTTTTTTTTTTTGAGACAGAGCCTCAAGCTGTCCCCCTGGGTAGAATGCCGTGGCATCATGGCTCACAGCAACCTCCAACTCTTGGGCTCAAGCCAGTCTCCTGCCTCTGCTTCCCAAGTAGCTGGGACTACAGGCGCCCGCCACAACGCCTGGCTATTTTTTGGTTGTAGCCATCATTGTTGTTTGGCAGGTCCGGGCTGGATTTGAACCCGCCACCTTAGGTGTATGTGGCTGGCGCCTTAGCCACTTGAGCCACAGGTTCTTCTTAATCTCTTCACTGACCCTATGGTCATTCAGGAGCATATTGTTTAATTTCCATGTGTTTGTATTTTTTTCAGTGTTCTTATTATCGATTTCTAGTTTTGTTTTTTTTTTCTGGCCGGGGCTGGGTTTGAACCCACCACCTCCGGCATATGGGGCCGGCGCTCTACCCTTTTGAGCCACAGGCGCCGCCCCATTGATTTCTAGTTTAATGTCATTGTGGTCAGAGAAGATACTTGGTATGATTTCAATTTTCTTGGAATTTTTAAGACTTGTTTTCTGACTTAACATATGCTTTATTCTTGAATGATCCATGAGCTGAAAAAGTGTGTACTGTAGCTGTTGGATGAAAAGTTCTGTAAGTGTCTGTTAGGTCCATTTGGTCTATAGTACAGGTTAAATCCAATGCTTCTTTATTGATTTTCTGTCTGGATGATCTGTCCAGTGCTGAAAGTAGAGTGTTGGGGTTTGTAGTGATTATTATATTGGAGTCTATCTCTCTTTTTATCTCCGATAATACTTACTTTATATATCTGTGTTCTCCAGTGTTGGGTACATATATATTTAGAATTGTTATATCCACTTGCTGAGTTGACTCCTTTATCATTATATAATGACCTTTTTTGTTTCTTTATAGTTTTTGTCTTGAACTCTGTTTTATCTGATAGAAATATTGCTACTCCTGCTTTTTTTAGTCTATGTCTCTTTATAGGTAGGTGAAGTGTGTTTATTGCAGACAATATATATTTGGCTCTTGTATTTTTTATCCATTCAGCCACTCTGATGGAATCCTAAGTCCAAATCCTTTTATTATTTTTATTTATTTATTTGTAGTGAGACTCTGTCTCACTTTATTGCCCTCTGTAGAGTGCATGGCATCACAGCTCACAGCAACTTCAAACTCTTGGACTCAAGCAGTGCTCTCGCCTTAGCCTCCCAGTAGCTGGGACTACAGTGCCTACCACAATGCCTGGCTTTTTTTTTTTTTTTTTTATTAGCAGGCCTGGGCCGAGTTTGAACCCCCTAGCCTTTGCATGTGGCCGGCGCCCCTAACCACTGAGCTGTGGGCGCCCAACCTAGAAAAAATCTTTTTAATAAATGGATTTGTTCTGTGAGGTTTGGATTCAATCAAGGGACTTCACTTGGGGATCTGGAGGGTCACATATGGCCTTCAGGCCGCAGGTCCCCCCCTCACCCCAGCTTGTTGCTATTGGTAGCTAAGGACTTACTACCGCCATGTTGTCATTGGACTTCCGGTTGTTCTGTGGCCTTCTGTTTCTTACTCCATTCAAGTCTTCTTTTGTTAAAAGGGTTTCTGGTAGTGTGTTTTAATTTCTTACTTTTGGTTTTTTGTTTCTGTTGTAGGTTTTTTGATTGAGATTTCCATGAGGCTTGCAAAAAACATTTTTATAACCAGTTATTTTAAGCATGTGACAACTCTGCTTAGAAATAAACAAGCAGGCTCGGCGCCTATAGCTCAACCGGCTAAGGCACCAGCCACATACACCTAAGGTGGCAGGTTCGAATCCCCAGCCCCAGCCCGGACCCGCCGAACAACAATGACGGCTGCAACCAAAAAATAGCCGGGCGTTGTGGCGGGCGCCTGTGGTCCCAGCTACTTGGGAGGC